CATCATCGACAGGTCTTGGAGGATCGAAGTGCGTGAAATGAACGTAATTAACCATTATCACCTTCATTTTTCCCATTGGTCATCAAGTGAAAAGCCCTGAATCATTTGATTTATTAATTAAGGTGTTGTTTCTTGTCTTTTTCCTGGTGATTTGGTTCTGGTTTCTCCGCAATATCACACTTGTAAACTATTACAGTGTGGGAATGACAAGAATGATATGTGATTGTCAGCAGCCATCTGGATAGATTCTTTTTGTTTGCTGACTTTAGAAAGTCAACTGATTTTTTTCCACTCAGAAATTTTTGCCAAATCGGATGTTATATTTGTTCAGAAGTAGTCTTCATTTTCTCTTTCTCACCACAAACAGGTGAGAAAATCATCAAATCTGTTTGTTGGATCTCAGAGCAGTGTAATGAATTCCTTATTACATGATGATTGAATCAAGTCTCTGTTCTTTCAATAAACACAACCAACAAACCTCACTGGTTTCCTCAAGTAATTTAACATTTCAAATCAAAGAGTGGTGTATTTATATACGGAGATCAAGGAAAGCCAATGAAGCTAGTACTGCGTTGCCATTATTCTTCCGAAAACTGTTTTCACATGTCTATCATCATTAATTTAATCTGTTTGTTTGTTTGTTGACTTGAATTAAGGCGAAAATTCTTCAAGTAAATTTCTTGGAAGCTCAATTGTCAGTTACTCAAGTCCTATTGGTTCTTTAGGAGAGCCAAAATGGAACACGACTTTGGGCATTGAAAGAAACGTTGTATTATTGTTGTTGTTAGTTTTCTTCTTAACCCCCCCCCCGGTCACTGGAAGCCAAGTTGAACGCATTATTTTGCTGGAATTTATAACAAAATAATTGGGAAATTAAATTAATTGTACGATAGTTTTTGAAGAATTCATGGACACATAAAAAAGTCTTTACAAAGAGCATCCCAAATTTTGAGGTGTTTACAGAGATAAAAGTAACATTAAAAATCCTACTAAAATATTGCCCAAAAGAGACAAATTAAAAGCATGATGATGTTGGAAAAAAATTGTGATGGCTGTGAAAGAATCTTTCATGCGCCCAAATCGTCAAAAGCAACGCCCTCCTCCAACACCAATGGTTATAATTATAATAAATAACCTATAAATAAAGTTTATAATTAGGACTGGAGGTAGTAAATTAAAAATAACTCTTGACTATAAAAGACAATCAAGTCAACAAATCAAATATTTATTTGATTTTTATTTTTATTTTTACTACCTTCGGTTCTAAATATAAAAACTAGCTAGGGGGTTGGATTTGGTCATAAATATAATACTTCAATCAATTGTTTTTCAAATTCATAATGTTTTTTTCAAAATATCTCTATTAATTATGAGAGTTTTTGGTTAAAGAGTAATTCTAACGTACATGATTAAATAGAATAATTTTAAAAAATGAGCACATATTTATTATAAATAACTAAGTTAATTAATTTTTTAATATCAAATTAGTCATCCATCTATGTATCAGAGTTGTTATTTTCTTCTTGGAGCATGACAAATGGAGGAAACGCGCACAAGTCTATTTGTCATTTTCAATTATTGAACTTGCTTTCGAAGTTCTAACGAAGACTCCTTGCATTGAGGACGAAGATTCCCAGTGCCTTGTTCTTCGCTTAAAAACTGCATTTTTGTCTATTCAGATATCACTCCCCTATTTTGCCGGATAAGGTTTGATCAAATCCAGGTACGATGATCTTCTTCCCCATTCCTTACGTAAAAGGTATGCCCATGTTTGAACTATTCCTCACGTACATATACGTGCCAGGAAAAGCCATAAGTTCCTAATGCGTTCCGTGTGACTCTGTTCTTGCTCTGTTTCACCATCTTTCATTTCCACTTGTTTGGATTTTATAATGATGCAGCATCAATATAGTTTAGTTTTTATAGCGCCTGATATACATTCTGTTACTTGTGGTTGTGGCCCTCTCAGTTGTAGCCATTGTGATCGCCGTCTTCCATCTTCCAGGAAGAACAGAGGTTTGATTCTTTCGCTTCCTCTTCAATTTCTCTGCTTCTATGGTCATGAAGAATGTTAGTCTTAAATCTGGATGTTAGATTCTGTTCCATGAAATCTGATCCACTTTTTTGGGTCAATTAATAGATTAAAAATAAGTTTTACCATGACATGTTAAAGTTGATGAATTGTATTATATATATATTATCGACAAAAATCCATTTAAATTTTACTGATAGTAATTGGGTCTAATAAAAGAGGTTCATCACTCACAGTGTTTTAAATTAAGGGTAACAGACATATAACTAATAAAAAAATCTATTTAAATTTTATAAGGCTAAAACAATTACTTTTTTTATTAGCTTCTCTCTCCTCCTCTCCTAGAATAAAAATAAAAAACTATCATTAAAATTCCTCTCTCTACTCTGCCATCATTTCAAACAAAAGATTATTAATCCCTCATGATTATGACTTTTCCTTTCGTCCGGCCAATTATCAACTTCCATTAATGGGTTTAATTGGATACTTCCATAACAATTTATTTTTATGTAAACGGTTCATTATCATCCATCACTTAAAGTATTTTTTTCACTAGCACTTAAAATATGTTCTCTTTGGAGCACTCAACACTAAATATTTTTCTAGTAACAACTAGTATTCTAAAAGAATGTTTAGTGCATCTATCACCATAAGTTATATTTTTAGTTCACTCAGTATCCTAAGTTGGGAATGTCTTTGGCTACTAAAAAAATACTTTAAGGCAAAATCACCTGAAAAATTACTTTATGATACTTAATGCTGTTTTAGTAGGAAAAAATTTTAAGATATTAAATGTCCAAAAAAATTAGTTTAAAATTGTGAGTGCTATTGAAAAAGTATTTCATGATGTAAGATGCAACCTAGTCCCCATGTAAACCAAGTCAGAGTTTTGCCATCTTCTATAAATTAAAAGCCAATAAATCATAAGATTTAGATAGTTTATCATTCTTTCCCATTAAAAAAAAAAAAGAATCAAGACTTAAAGTAACTGAGAAACAGACCGGGTCATTCAAAGAAAATTTTACAATAATTATTATGACCTTATAGTTTGTTTTTAAATAAAAAGGGCTGTTATTGTTACTCAATAATTTGCACTATTTTTAATACTTTTTTTTTTGAAAATAAAGGTGCATGAACTCTTTCAATTACAAAATCACTTTGTTAAGTCTTTCCCTTTTTTTATTCCATTCTTTTTAAGTATAAGCATCTGGACGTGGAAACAAAAGATCAAATTTCAGTATTCACCAAATGGAAGCCAGCATCGCCAATCTTATTTTTAGTGAAAATTGTGAATATGCTCCAAATATAGGACTTGTTCATAAACAAGTCTCACGATTACACTCGTTAAAATTCAGTGAAGTTTTATGAGTGTTATTTTTTATATGAGCTAAAAAACCAAATTGCCCCTTGACAAGTTTAAAGGATTGACTTGTAAATAAAATAAGTTTATTTGTAACTCTAGAAAGCAGACTTGTAAATTCGTACATGAAATTTGTCCATTTGAATAACTAGTACAAAAATTATGTTGATTCAAGGTTTGAATTGTAAGTCTAGAAAGTTAACATGTAAATCCGTATGTAAATCTGAATAAAGAGTAATTTTGTCATTTGCACATGTAAAACGCAACACTCAAAGACTTTAGCACTGCATCGTGTCCTAGCAAATTCATAGGAATTATTTGTAAATGAGTCCCTTATTTGGAACCTGTTCATAATTTTCCCATTTTATTATGTTTTGCATATCAAACTAGCCTTAGTCATTTCCAAGCTATCTGTGCTAAATACAAATTAAATTCATACGAGAGTAAACATATAATATTTGAACAGTTATATGTTATTATAATGGGAAAACCATATTGGAGGTACTTATACTTTTTTTCAATTTTCAATTTGGTACCTATGTGTTTTTTGTTCTTAACTAAATCTTTAATTTTGTTCTATTAACATCATTAATCCTTATGTAGAGACTAAAAATATCAATAGAACAAAGTTATAAAAGCTAATGTTGCTAAAAAGATAAAATTAAATGTTTAATTAAAGAGAAAAAAACACATAGGTACCAAATTAAAAATTGAGAGAAAGTATAGGTACCTTCAATATGGTTTTTCCTATTATAAATGTTGTTAGTGGAAACTTGAGCAGAAATATTAGCATTCAAATTATTTAGAAAAAATTAACACCCAATTTTTGTTTATGTTCAGCAATGGCTGTTTTTGCTAGTCCCTCCCAAGTTCGACAAGAAAAATATGATGTTTTTATCAGTTTTAGAGGTTCAGATGTTAGACATGGATTTCTTAGCCATTTAACACAGAAATTACAACAGAAGGGGATATATGTATACATCGATGAGAGGCTACAGAGAGGAGATGAAATATCATCTACATTACTGGAGGCAATAGAAAGATCAATAATTGCACTAGTGATACTTTCAAAAGACTATGCTTCTTCAAGGTGGTGCTTAGAAGAGCTAGTGAAAATCATGGAATGCAAGCGAGTCAATAATCAGACTGTAATTCCAGTTTTTTATAATATAGATCCATCACATGTCAGGCATCAAGAAGGATCTTATGCAGATTCATTTGCTCAACATGGGTACAAGTTCAGAGTTGACTTGTTGCAAGTCTGGAGATGTGTCCTGAAAGAAACTGCAAACCTATCTGGTTATCATCATTCCTCAAATTTTTTGTAAGTTGTTTTCACTTTATATTTATTCAATATATCCTGTCTTAATTTATCAATTACATGTTTCTCCATACAAAATTAAAAATAATTATGTCTATGCATGCATTATTTTTAGCAAATGTGGGGTGTTTTTAAAAAATAATTATTCCTTTTAACATGCCAGCAATGAATCCGATCTTGTGGATCAAATAATCAAAGATGTATCAAAAAAGCTGGAAGATAAAGACACAACTGAGCCGAAGCACCTAATTGGATTCAAGAAAAATTTGGCTGCTATTGAGTCATTTATGAAAATTGGCTCACAAGAAGTTGGGGTTCTTGGAATTTGGGGTAAGGGAGGAATGGGTAAAACAACCTTAGCTCGTGCTATATTTGACCAATTTTCCCACCAGTTTGACAGTTCTTACTTTGTATCAAATGTGAGAGAGGAATCCAAAAAGATTGGATTGACTTGTCTGCTTGAAAAAACTATCTCTGTCCTACTAAATGATGGAAATCTTACAATGATAGAAAGCCCCAACACTCAAAGAAGGCTACGTCGAATAAGAGCTCTTCTTGTGCTTGATGATGTAGACACCTCCCACCAATTACAGTATCTTATTGAAGAAAATCTTTTATTGGGACCAAGCAGTAAAGTCATCATAACAAGTAGAGACAGACATGTTCTTGTTAGTGGAGGAGTTCAAGTAGTGCATGAGGTGAAAGAATTAAAAATGGAAGAATCACTTCAACTTTTCTGTTGGCATGCTTTCAAGCAAGCTTATCCCAAAATGGGGTATGAAAATTTATCAGCACAAGCAATTCAGTATGCAAGAGGCGTTCCCTTAGCAATAAAAGTTTTGGGTTTATATTTGAACTCTAGAAGTACAAAAGCATGGGATAGTGCCCTCAAAAAATTCAGAAAGTATCCTCATATGGGAATTCATAATGTATTAAGGGTGAGTTATGATGGACTTGATGTGCCAGAACAAAGGATATTTTTAGATATTGCATTCTTTTTTAGGGGAGAAAGAAAAGAAGATATTATAAGGGTGTTAGATGCTTGTAATGACTTCTATGCCTATTGTGGAATAGATAGCCTTCAAGATAAAGCTCTCATAACTATTTCAAGAGACAACAAAGTAGAAATTCATGATCTATTACAAGAAATGGCTGAAGAAATAGTTCGTGAGGAAGCTAGAGAGCATCCTGAAAGACGAAGTCGATTGAATGATGTAAATGAAATTCAAGATGTATTGAAAAATAGCACGGTAAGAGATCCTGCCATTTAACTTCCTTTTTCATTCATTGTTTTTATTGAAGAATTTTTGAAATCCACTTGTTTAATATTATTTGAATTTTGTTATGTCAGGGAACTGATGCAATTGAAGGCATTACACTGAACCCAAAGGAATTTAGAAACCACTTGCACTTGAGTGCTGACGCTTTCAAAAAGATGAGTAATTTAAGATTTCTCAGGATTAGTTCCAAGTTAAAAGGAGGTTATACCGTGCGGTTTCCTTTTGGTCTAGAGTCATTTTCTGATGAGCTAAGATATTTTTGTTGGGAAGAATATCTTTTGGAGTCTCTACCATTGGGTTTTTGTGCAGAAAAACTTGTTGAAATCCATATGGTTTGCAGCAATGTGGTGAAACTATGGGATGGTGTGCAGGTAACTATATATTAATGCATGTTTCATTCTTCAGTCTAATTGAATTATTAGGGCTTTTTTCAGTAACTTTCCTCTTTTAATTGTCACAGGATCTTATGAATTTGAAGACAATAAATCTCAGCTTTTCCTCAAAGTTAAAGGAGCTGCCTGATTTCTCAATGGCACAAAATCTTGAAATACTGGACCTCCGATATTGCAAAAAGTTGCGTAGCATTCATCCATCTCTCTTATCTCTTCCTAAACTTGTTTCTTTGAATCTAGCGGGGTGCTGCAAACTAAAGAATCTTCATGGGGACACCCCTTTGAAATCTCTCAAGCATCTCACGCTGACTGGCTGTATTGCTCTCAAGGAATTTTTGGTGGCATCAGAAGAAATGAGAATTTTACATTTGAATAATACTAGTATCAAAACATTGAACTTGCAAGTAGGATGGTTCAATAAACTGGAAGAGCTACATATCGGTTGGCGTCTCAAGAGCTTTCAAATAAATGAGCTAAGAAGCTTGACATCTCTGAAAATATTCTTTCTTTCTAATTTTACAGAAGGAATTGACAAATCAAAATTACTCATTCTGTTTGATGCCTGGCATTCTTTAGAAGAACTGCATTTGAGACGCTGTGATGTTGGTGAAATCCCTGACAATATCAATGGCCTGTCATTATTGAAGATTCTGTCACTACGACGGTGCAGCTTGAGTAGTTTGCCTAATAGCATCAAGCATCTTTCAAAGCTGAGAGAAATTGATCTGGGAGAATGCAAGTGGCTTAGATCCTTACCAGAACTTCCACCTTCCATTACTCAATTTTATGTCAATGAATGCACATCATTGGAAACCATTGATTTATCACTGATGCAGGCAATATGCAACAACTACTCTTGTGAGCTTAAAGTCTGTTACCCAGGAAGCACAATTCCAACGGGCTTAAAATATTCTCAGACTATGGAGAGGCCCATTGCTACTATTGAGCTTGCACCAGTTTCTTCTGACCGTTTATTGGGTTTTGTTTGTTGTTGTATTCTTTCTCCATTAGACTTAAGCCATGTCGTAGCATCAATTTGCAGAAAATTCCACTTGGAAGATGAAGAGATCAATTGCAAGGATGAAAAAGAATTCCCTCGCCTCATGAAATTGAGTACAGATCATGTTTTTGTATGGTATGATCCAATGGAAAGCATAGTCAAGGGAACACAAAGAAGGCGATTTGATAAGGGCACCACTTGTAAGTTTGCATGTGAATTCTTCATTGAAATTCTCTTCCGTTCTGGGCGAAAAAAATATGATCACTTGATAAAGGCGTGCGGAATTTGGCCAATATATGCGTCCAAATTACAAGAGGAAGGTCTACAAATGGAATTAAAGTTGGAGAAGGGCATTGTTACAGGCAATAATATCACTGGCCCAGATGAGAACCCAAATGCTGAAGTGGCACTGTTACATCAGCCATTACCTGATTCCGTTAGTAGAAGCACTCGTGCGCGCCAGAGGACATGGAACTTGAGGTGGATGCCCCCCTTTTTGAGTAACAAAAGAAAAGCTTGAGAATTCAGTTCCAATTCCAACAATTTTTTTTATGGGTAATTTCCTGCGCTATACCATTATTTTATTCAAATATGTCTTTTTTTGTCCTGCTGCAAATCTCCAATCATGTAGGATGGATCAAGTTGTAGAATCTGAATTTAATCAGCCTTAATGGCCAATGATAAGAAAATCTCCAACCATGTATGACAAGAATTCTTTATTCTCAATGAAACTAGTCTGTGAGTCTAATGCTGAACATGAATGAACGTTAGAAAAATCTCCAAAGTAAGCTACCAAACATGCAACTATCTGTATTTTCTATCCATGGGCATTGCACGTCAAAAAATGAAGAGATAATGGATTAATTGATTTTTAATTCCATTAGCATCCCTTAGTTCCCTGCGCTGCTCTCCATGTTCTGTTGTCCATGTAGATACTAACATGTGCCAATGCTAATTCTTAGTTGTGCTTGTGACTTATATCCATGGAGCTCAGTAATGTAGTTAAACTTTGTGATGTGTTGAATTGAATGTGATGCAAATAGCATCTATCATCTTCCACAGCCTTCATTACTATCCTTTAAAGAAATAGAATGGTTACATTTTGATATATGTGATTTTATTCCCTCCTTTTTCTCTTTTACAGTGGGCTCTGATTGTCTTTTAGTTGTTGTTATATGCAGATTTCTTTGGAAAGGAGTTGAGTTGACTTTATCGTATCATTCTGGATATAAATGTGTAACTACTTGCATAGCAGTAAGTATTTTGGTTTTCTTCATAGCTGGTCAATTTCTATATGTTTCATTTAAACTTTTCCTCTGCCTCTTACTAGCGGCAGTGAATTCAAATAAATCTGAGTTGTGTTCATGCACATTTTGGAATTATAGGAAAGCCTTGCACAGAATGAAATATAGAACGAGAAGAAACATATATGGATGCCATGTATTTCAACTGTCTAACTTTCATATTATATAATATTGGCTAATTAGGCAGGCCAATCCAAGTATGAACACAAGCATGTCAAGCATCTTTTTCAGGTAAATTTGTCTCTGACATGTTTGCATTTCCGTTCATTTGTAATAATGAGTTTCTATATATGATTCTACTTCATTGGTTAATAATTTCTATAAAAGAGTAGAATATAAAGCTGGTTGATGATATTTTGATTGGTGCAAGATATGGAGGCTTAAACGTGTCACATTAAACTCAAACTTCAGCAAAAGCACTTGCCATCAATGTCTGAGATGAAGGTAGCTATTCTAGCCCTAGTCCTTCACGGCTACTCAAATTTTAATTTCAAATTGAAGGTAAATGCTGTACTTTCTTTTCCCCTCCATATGTCATTTCTATGGCTTCAGCCCCTTATTTATTCTATTTTTAACCTATGAAAATTGTGAATATATGATATGTGGTAATAATATTAGTAAGGCCATTAAGGTAAATAGAAAGCGGGTAGTGGTCCATAAATAGGATGCTAGAAGTTGTATTGGGTGTCAATTGAATATATATCTTTACTGCTTACCTTGTGCTCTCTCTGTTCTCTCTATCTGCCTATAACAATATAAATGGCAGTAAGAACACTGCTTAAAGCTTCTTACGTCATATAGTTCATATTGATTCTTACTACTAGTTTCTGCTCACTTTGAATTGTAGTGTATAGTTGAACTTATAGCTTAATTGTTTGAATCTAAAATTCTGAAACGAAGCAAAATTTGAATTAGGATCGCAATGGAGACCAAATTAGGAAGGGAATAGGATTATTGAAAATACATATACCATGATGAAATAATTACCTTTATTTTCAATCACAGCATTTATACTCCCATTCTTTTTTCCATTTTAACTTGTAACGAGCAGGTTTTCTTCTCAAAGGAAGTGGGGGAAAGAGCTGCATTTCTATTTATGAAGATGTAGCAGTTACAACTGCAAGGGTGCTTATGACAATGAGAGGTTGACAGAAGAATAGCATCAGAAATACAATGAGGCTTGTTGCTTAGTGCTTGGTCTTTCCTACAAATACTGGTGACAGCATCATCAAGTTGATTTCTTGCATCTTACAGCAGAAGAATGTTTTCATCTTACAGTCTGTGTTTCTTAAAAACAGAGTGTATTATGTAACTCATTATGTGAAGCAACATTGGTTTCATCCAATTTCAGATCCAAAAGCTAGAGAAAAAAGTGATTTTTTTAAAGGGAAGTCACTGATACAGCTACCAAATTGCCATTTTACTTCCAAATTTTAATAGTAGCTTTACGCAACTGCACTTTCATCTATAAACACAAATTTCAACTGCTGTTTTGGTTGGATGAGACATTCCCCATCTCAATTTTAGCTCCATATATTAATGAACATCAAATGGATACAACAAAATTACCAAGTGAAGATTTACAATTGTTATATGCCAACAAGATTCTATCAGCATTCAACTGTCAGAAATTTTCATAACTCTGAACAGATATCATTCTCTTCTGCAGGATTATGTTCGTTGTGATGTTTAGGTATCATTCTTGTATGCTTGACCAACCTCATGTTATGGCATCAATGAGTTAAACTCAAAATTAGCCTAGGTGATTATTATATATGTACTCTCACACCATGCTATTCATACTCTCTAGTTAGGCAATCCTTTTGCCTGCGGTTACCACATGAATGTGTTGTGTGGAAGATGTTAAATTATGGGTTAACATGCAATACTCGATTGGTTTTGTTGGCATCATTGTACGATCGACTAAATAACCAAAGCATTTGACTAGTTTCGAGTTAAAGGCAAGAAGCAGCGGAACTGGTTTGATGAACATGACTCACTTTCATTTATGCCTTCTCTAGTCTTTGGAGAAGAGACGACAGAGATTTTCCGATACTTTATTCTCAATATTGAAGCTGGAGTGACATTGATGGGGAGCCATCATCAGAACAAAGAGATGAGAATGAACATAAGCCAAAACTGCAATCACTTCAACACCACCAAAACGAACTTTGGAATATCTCTTTCAAGCCTACCCAAAAGTTTTAAGTTATTTTATTCTAAGGATATTTCAAAAGATACCTAATTACGTCTACACACACACGTATATATTATATACATACATATGTATATGCAAATTTAATCATGCGTCCGTAAAAGCATTTGAGAATCATAAATCTATTATTGTCCTTAATAATGCAAAATAATTAAGTCGGAAAGAAAAACTCTTCGAAGAAAAAATCAGCGACTTTGTGTGATATAACTTATAGTATAAATCAGGTAAAACAAATCTAATATTAAAAGAATATTCTCACTACAAAAACAAAAGAGTATCCTTAACTTAAAAATGCTAAAGTACATCCAGCAATTCAAAGTATTTTTTTAGATACATCTAATATCTTAACATATTTTGTAATATATTCAACATTCTAAAGTATTTTTTTAACGGTGTCTAACACTTCAAATTATTTTTTGATGTATCTAGCATTTTAAATTGTTAAGTGTAAAATTATACCAAAAAATACATTAGGATGTTAGATACACCTAAAAAAATACTCTAAGTTGTGGATGCACGTTAAATGTTAAGAAGAATCCAACTTTCTCTCACACACACATATATATGCGCCCACACTATCAGTCAATGAACTGATAGCACTTGTAAACACACTATCCCTTCCCAGTAATAATAGTCGTTATAAGGAGGTCTCAGGAAGAGATGTGTCAACAGTAGAATTATCTCTACAGTAAAAGCAAATGATAGTGTTCGGCCGGAGCAATGAAGGAATCTGTCCAGGTTGGATTTTTTTTTTCCCTTTCCTTTTGTGCCAGAGAAAGACTATCATTAAACAAAAATAGCATATTGCGTCTTGCAAGTTGTAGCAAAATCATAACCAGGCAGAAAAGAGAACAATGGAAAGCAAAGTCATCCAACACCTTCTCCCTCTAGAAGACACATCATCAAGAACTTAGACGCGTTTGAATGTGAACGATGTTTACACATATTTATTAACAGTTGAACTCACTTATAAACAGTTCATGACTAATAAGCATGTTTGAAAAATTTCTCCTCTTATTACAGTAGCTTTTGGCTGATATACTTATGAGTCAAAAGTTGATTTTAGAGCACAATTATAAAAGTATATAAAACCTGGTTAAAACTTAGGTAAAAGCAATCTTTTTTGAATCAGAAAATATTTTTGCTCTTTTGTTTATGTTATTTATGCATCTCTCTGCATATTTTTTTATGTTTCCCAATTATTTTTTAATTATTTATTTTTAATTTTCCGTTAAATAAAAATAGTTTTTAACATGATTTTTATAAGATTTTTAAATTTTTAATATTATTTGTTATTTTATATTTACATAAATTTTACAAAATATATATCATCCGATCAATTATATAATATTATTCACTTCAAAAATTTTCACATTACTATGATATCTCATTTAAATATATTTTATTCATTAAATATAACTTCTTCCTATCATAATAATTTAAAATTATTATATTATGTACATTTATTTTTTTATTTTTTATTATTTAGTAAAAGTAATTTTTTTATCATTTTACAACTAAACTTATTTATTCAATAATAATCCAAACAACTTCTACTTTTACAAACATCTTTATTTATAAAAGTTAATCCAAACATAAATCACATCATTTAATTTAATTTTTACACATGCTTAACTTTCTAAAAGTTCAATTAAAAATAAATTACTTTTTGGCTGCTAATTTAAAGCGCCGTCAATGTTTGAAAATCTACGTCCAATTTTTTTTGGGGGGGGGGTCCCTCCATCCGTGCTCGATCAGTGTGTACCATCACCCATGGCTTAGTGATCAATATATACTGTTCTTGCCCTTAATATAGGTTCTAACTGAAGAATTAATTATATTTAAGACTTATTTTATATATTTATTAATTTTTTTTAAAATTAATCTTATTGATATATCTTTAATAATAATCAAATAGGAAAGGAAGGGAGAAAATGAAAGAAGATTTTTAGGGGTATTTTAGAAAACATATCGTATTAACTAATTTAACTAATATTTTTAATTTTACTCAAACTAATTAATTTTTTTTGGCCGAAACTCAAATTAGTTAATTAAATCTTATATTAAAGATGAAAGTAGCATATAACAACCAACAAATGGATATGGGTATTGATTACCGAAGATGCAATATCTATAAATTGAATGGTTCCAAAAAAAATGGTCTTTAAATTATTAGTACTTAATTAAAGCCGTGCGAGCAAATTAGAGCCTTCTAATACATTTCCTTTCTTTGTTCAATTCGAAGCTTTGTACAAAATACGGACAAAATGTGAAGCTTAAATAATTCACATTCTCAAGACTCCCACCCCCGGTCCCCCCCCCCCCACCCCCAACAACTCTCCTTCAAGCCAATCAAATATTTTATTATCTAACACCAAGTAAAAAACTCTTAAAATATTTCATGGAGTTCTCAGTCTTAGTATGAAATCATCCTTAGGCACCCAAATCAACAAAATTATCTTTATAAAAATTTCCCAGTTAAACTTTGAACAGAAAAAAGTTTTACAAGTTCTCATGCCTTATTTGCGAATCAAACTTAAAAATTTACTTATTATTTTTGCATAAGTTTTCTGGGGCACTTAACTAAAGGTTCAGGATATCAACCCAAAACCTGCGATTAAACCAGCTTGTTGGTCGAAAACGTAACATTTGACACTATAAAACAATCAAGTCAACGAAACGAAGCAAACATTTGTTTGATTCTTATATTTATTTTCTTTTTGGGGCACGACAAATGGGAACGCTCAGAAACCAACTTGCTGTATATTTTAAATTATTCAACTTACTTTACCAGAGACTCCCCACCGTATTGATAAGGAAGTTTCCCAGAAACCCTTCAATTCTTCACATATATAAATTGGATTACTGTAATTCACGCAGACATCATCACGATTGATCTGAGTTTGCCAGAAGAGGTTTGATCTATCCAGGTACGATGATCTTGTTCCTCATTCCTTACGTAAGATGTATATGTTTGACTACGATGTGTTGATTTTTTTTACCTATATTATCAATCACTTGAAGGACTGGAGCATGGAGTTCTTCGAGGCACTGGAGAATGAATTGCTTGTGGGTGTGGCCTTCTCTTTCATAGCCATTGGGATGGCCGCTTTCTATTATTTCTTCTGTTCTTCCGGGAAGAACAAAGGTTTGACTCTTACGCTTTGTGTTTAATTTCTATGCTTCTATCATCATGAGGAATGATAGTCTCAAATCTGGATTCTAGATTCTGTTCCTTGAAATACCCAAAGCAATAATAATGTTTCCGCATGAAAGCCAGCATCCCGAGTCTTTAATTTTAGAAAAAAATTATGAATATGTGACTTATTTATAAATGTGCTAAAATAGAGTAAAATTCCCAAGTTCCCTGAATGATTTTGTTTGGTTGTACCAAAAAGACCAAATTGCCCCTAAACTAATCCAAAGGGATTGATTTGTAAATCAAAGAGGTTGATTCGTGAATCTAAAAAGTGGGCTTGTAAATCCATGTGCTAAATTCTAACGACTAGCGCAAAAGTTATGGGGATTTACTTATAAATATAAGATGTTTGAATCGTAAATGTAGGAGGTTAGCTTGTAAATTCATATGTAAAATTTGAATAAAGGGCAATTTAGTTATTTGCATGTGCAAAAAATCACACTCAAAACCTTACGACTGCACCCTATTTTAGCAAATTTGCAGGATTTATTTGTAAATGAGTCCCTTATTTGGGTCCTACTCGTAATTTTTTTCCATTTTATTATCAAAACGGCCTTAATTATATCCAAGCTACCCATGCTAGACACAAATTAAATTCACATGGGTGTAAACATATATAATACTAGAATAGTTATATGTTTATTATAATGTGATTATTTGAAACTTGAGTAGAGAGATTAGCATCCAAATTTATTAGCAATAATTAACGCCCTATGATTTTTGTTTATGTTCAGTAATAGCTGCTTTTGCTGCTACTTCTCAAGTTCGGCAGGAAAAATATGATGTTTTTATCAGTTTTAGGGGTTCAGACATCAGACATACATTTCTTAGCCATTTGAAAAAGCAATTACAACAAAAAGGGATAGATGTGTATGTGGATGAAAGGCTAGAGAGGGGAGATAAAATATCATCCGCGCTTCTGGAAGCAATA